GTCCCTGAGATGGTTTGACCTTAAATGTCTCTGGGCTTTCCTTCAGGGGAACCATCCAGTATCAGCATCGGAAGGGAGTGGGCCCTACTTAGGGTGGGACAGACAATGGGGCCTGATTGCCTTAGATGGTTGACAACCTTCAGACAGTTAACCTTTAAGCAGTTAACCTCCAAGTGTATAGTCAGTGGTGTGTTTGCAAACAGCACCTTAGGTTTGGCATATATTATGGGGGGAAGATCCTGGGGAATAACTTTTCTGTTTCCCACACTACCATGTCCCCAATTCTCCAGTTGCCTCATCACTACTGCAAATCACGTTCTCTTCCCACCCCACTACCCACTCATCCATCCATCCAGCATACCCCATCCATGCAGCCCAGGGTCACTTGGTTGGTCCTTCCCTCCATGCAAAGCCTGATGGAGGGGAGCAGGTGGGTGGGACACTGGGGGTGGCAGTGGCGGCCAAGCCAGGGTCTTACCAGGAACAGGGTGGGGCTTTGCTGGGATCAGAGGCTTCATATCCCATGGAGCTGAACAGATCCATCACAGCGTGGCATAGGCTCCAGGTGCTAGTCCTCTCCAACTTACCTCCTCTGTGTGCCCCTTATCTGAGCAGGGCACTGAGGGGAGGGGTGTCTTCCCACCATTCTTCAAGTTCCCCCTCCCACACTCCCATCCCTGCTGTCAGGCTGGACTAAGGCTAGTCCTTACCTGGCCTGAGATGCTTCTCCTGTCATCTAGTGCCCCATCACCAGGAGCAATAGCACCCTGAGGGGCGGCTGAGCAGACGGCCAAGGGTAGGTCCCACACAGCACATGTAGCCTTGTTATCACTTCACAGCGCTTTATTTTGGTCTTTACCGCTGTCCAGGGGACAGCACTGTACACAGGTCCCGACACACCCAGGGGGGGACATCCCTGTAGGTTGCTGAGTAGGGCACAAGGCAGCAAGCCTAGCCTCCTTGGGTGGAAGGAGCCCAAGCCAGGCCTCCTGGCAGCCCCTGCCCTTCTGGGGTGGGCAGTTGGGCACCAGGGCCATAGGGTGAGTGGGAGATCACATCCGGTCTGGTAGAGTGAACCGGGGCTGCTCCTACTCCATTC